TCACAATCAATATATAAAGATTAACATTCATTTTGTGTCATTCCTCTGGTCAATATGCAGATGTCAAAGTCCAATCTGTTGCCACCATGACAGCTTAGGTCATTGCTGAAACAGTATCTGTGGCAATGAACGATGAGCTATTCAGTGTCTGATAGCAGTTTACCATCTATATCCTGTTATCTCATGACTTCAGTACTTCCTCCCTTATTAGGCTCATTAAAATCAAATTTTCTTTATCATACATGCAGTACTTGGCACAAGAATCAACCCTTGGAATCAAGGGCGTCAAAATTATCTGTAATGTGAGGGGGACACGTCCTCTTCACATACAGTATAATGGTTGCGACGCCTATGCTTGGAATACACCAAATTATACACAAATGTTGTAAAATGTTGGTTTATCCAACAAAGTTCAGTCAGGCCCTCTGGAAACTTTCTTTTTGTTGAAACATTTCGTCTTTCATCCAAAAGACTTCATCAGTCTGAGAAGCCACAAGTCTTCTTAGTCTTATTAGCAACTTCACATAGTGGGTCAGTCAGTTTGATGGTGCTCTGATGGTTTCTGGAGTCTGCCCTCTCCCCTGCCAACTCATTTGAGGCAGTCACACCATCTCATACCATACCCTACCATACCGTACCATACCGTAACATACCATACCCTACCATACCGTACCATACCGTAACATACCATGCCATGCCATACCGTACCGTACCATTTCCGGTAAGATGGCGCCCGTGTACATGGCTTGCAATCCACCTCTGCTGATGGTGTTCGGATTATTTTTGTTTTTTGCGTTTCACATCTGTGACATCAACTCTCTGCTGGTGTATGACAGACAACAACTTTTGGATCTTCATTTTTGTGTCACTGAAGTCGCTTATTTGGAACAATATGAGCGTACCTCTGGACCCCACCCCTCCTCCCCCCCTGCTGGCGGACGTGCCAGCTTACCTTCGCTGCGCTCCTCACCTCCCTGCCCGGAGATATCGCTTCAGATGCCGGGGAAAACGTGCTGGTCAGCTGGTGAAGCTGAAAGCTCTGCACGCTGCATCTTCCTCTCCTTTGTGCCCGAACCAGGTAACCAATGTGAGTTGTCAGCCAGTGCGCAGCTCGGACCAACCTGGAGGGGCTGTTATTGAAAACCTGCGGCCGTTAGCGCGCGCTAACTTCCCCGCTGCTAGCTCCACTTCGCACAATATCCGGATGTGTTTGGTCAACGCAAGATCTGTTACCAACAAAACTTTTATCCTCAGGGATTACTTTCAAGAGCACGATTTGGACTTTCTGTGCATCACAGAGACTTGGATGTCTCTGGGTGAGTCCAGCGCCTTGACGGAATTACTGCCACCGAACTGTCTGTGTTTTAACGCCCCGCGGCCATCAGGCTGGCACGGTGGTGGATTATTAACAATATTCAAATCAACTTTTGACTGTAAACAACTGCCCATCCCAGTTTCCCGCGCCAGCTTTGAGCTGAGCGTCTTTGAACTCGGACATTCACCTCAGACTTTATTTGCACTCGTCTACCGCCCACCTCGAGCTAAGGATTTCATAAATTAGTTTTATGACTTCTTAGCTGAAATCACACCAAAATATGAGCATGTTTTCATTATTGGGGACTTTAATTTGCACGTGTGCTGTCCTGAGAAGCCCTTGGTTAAGGACTTTTTAGATCTATTGGACTCATTTAATTTAACTCAGCATGTAAACGATCCCACCCAAGAGTGTGGACACACACTGGACCTTGTTTTAACTCATGATATGATATGAAGGTTAATAATCTTGTTATTGGTGATAATGTTTTTTCAGACCACATGCCAGTCCGGTTTGAGTTCACCCTCCCCCATCTAACTCCTAAGCCATGCATTCCTGAATGTAGGACCCGGACCATTAACCATTTCACTGCCGCACATTTCACAGATGTTTAGAACTCTGAAATGATAATTCAGGCTTCAGTGTTTCTCACCACCGCTGAGGAGCTGACATCCCAGTTCAACTCTGTCTGCTTAAAGACTCTGGATCAAGTTGCACTTGTTAAAACTAGAAAATCAAAACTCAGAGCAGAACCTTGGCTGAGTGACGTCACCAAGGCCGTTAGGCAGCAATGTAGGAGGGCAGAGTGAAAGTGGAGAAAAGATAGGCTGCAGGTCTCTTTTCAAATACTTAAAGAGAGTTGGCGACGTTATCAGAAAGCAGTAAAAGCTGCTAAATCCAAATACTTCTCTGATATAATTACCTCAAACTCTCGCAACCCACATGTCCTCTTCTCCACCCTAAACTCTGTTCTCCACCTCACTGAACCATCACTTCTGGAAGCCTCGACTGAGCTGTGCGACAACTTCTTACATTTCTTTTTGGAAAAAATTGCGACCACCCGGTCTCTCATTTCCCCTCCAACTCATGACCCATCCATCCCACCTCAATCTGTAGCTCCATTTGACCATTTTGAACCCATCACTTTATCTTCTCTAGAGTAGGTCATGTGCAGCTTGAAACCTTCTGGCTCCCCCTTTGATGTGGTCCCCCCCCGACTACTAAAGGAGGTTTTTCCCACTCTAGGTCCGTCCATTCTTGATATAGTAAACAGTAGTTTATCCACTGGCGTGGTGCCAAAATCCTTTAAACATGCTGCCGTCCAGCCTCTCCTGAAAAAAAACAAACCTTGACTCCTCAGTCATTTCTAACTACCGGCCTGTCTCCAAACTCCCATTTGTTTCTAAAGTACTGGAGAAAATAGTCGAGTCCCAGTTGAAGTGCTTCCTAGAGGATCACGCCAACTTAGAGCTTTTCCAATCTGGCTTTAAACCTCTCCACAGCACTGAAACTGCCCTGCTAAAGGTCTTTAACAACATCTTTAGATTCACAGATACTGGTGATTCTGTACTGCTTGTCCTGTTGGACCTCACAGCCGCCTTTGACACCATCGACCATGAGATTCTCATTGCTAGATTGGAGCAGTGGGTGGGCATCACAGGATCGGCCCTCAATTGGTTCAGATCTTACCTCACTGACAGATCCTTTTGTGTCTCCATCAAGGATTTTAGTTCCGCAGAGGCAGAGCTTAAATGGGTGGTTCCGCAGGGGTCCATCCTGGGTCCCCTCCTATTCTCTTTATACCTGCTGCCGCTTGGTGCTATTTTCCGGAAACACAACATGCCCTTCCACTTCTATGCCGATGACTGTCAAATTTACTTCCCCCTAAGACACAATGGTACATGCTTTATTCAACTGCTGCTCAACTGCCTGGCTGACATCAGGGACTGGATGGCTTTACATTTCTTGAGTTTCAATGAAAAGAAATCTGAAGTCATGTTGTTCCCTTCCAACGACACAATCACAAACCACTGTATCGACCTCTCCGCTCTAACCCTGTCAGAAAAACAAAGAGTCACTAATCTGGGCGTGATAATGGACCCTTCCTTGAAGCTTAACAATCATGTAAACATGATTGTTAAATCATGTTTCTTCCAACTGAGGCGGCTGTCTAAACTGAAGCCCATATTGTCCAAAAATAACCTGGAGACAGCAATACATGCATTCATTACATCTAGGCTTGATTACTGCAATTCACTCCTGTTTGGTATCAGTCAGACCTCTATTGCACGACTACAACTGGTCCAGAATGCAGCAGCCCGATTTCTAACCAGTACAGGCAAAAGAGAGCACATTACACCAGTTTTGGCCTCACTGCACCGGTTACTGGTTCACTTTCGAATCCAGTTCAAAATACTCATGTATGTCTACAAATCACTGAACAGTTTCGCCCCCCCCC